ACGCCGCACAGAAAAGAAAATACTAATCTGTCCAAGCGCTTTTCACTTTCTGCATGAGCTACGTTTGTTTTGTTTTCTTTCACTTCCTTTCGGCCTCACATAAAAAAAGAAAAGAAAAGAAAAGAAAAAGAGCCCTATCTTTTCCTTTTGGACAGAAGCTATGGTTTGGAAATTGCCAGGCACTCTTGGTAACGATCTACTTGAAGGGGCTGGCGGGGGTCACAATTATTAAGTGGTTAGAAACAGTTGAGGGTTCACTGAGGTATTTCTGGGGAGCTAAGAAGATTCAATTTCAGTATAAATAACAACTGCAAAATAATAGGCACGCGCACACTTAAAGAGGAGTGCTTAATTTAAATGCCTTATTGGGATTTTGAAATTTGAAACTTTGTAAGAATGTCTCCTTTACCAGAGAAAAATTGGATGCATTACTTCAGGTAAAAAAAAAAAAAAAATGGGGTTTTGGAAAGTGGGGTCTTCAAAACTTTCTACATGGAGTAAAAGGAAAAATATCTGTCTTTGGAAATAATTTGATGTTTCCCAAATTCTGTATCTGTAGAAGACTTGAAACTTTGAAATATCTCAAGGGGGGGGAAGAGAGGGGGGAGAATTTTGTACATTGTAGAAAAATTAAAACCAACAAAATTCTGTTTAAATTGTAAATATTACTTGTATGAATGTTTTGCTTTTTTACTAGACCATGTTACTAATTTCACAATGGATTTGTTTGCCTTTATAAAATTAATTCTGTTACAATGTGAAGCAAGGCTAAAGGAATAAAAGTTTCTGTGGAAAACTGCAGTTTGCAAATGCATTGCCATAATTTTTCTTAAATAATAAAAATGAGCAATGATGTGCCTTTAAACTTAACTCATAAAACACATTTTGTGTTTGAGTACATCTTCTAAGATAAACCCAGTTTCTGAGCAAATCTTGCTTATAATTTTAAATATATGATATACTCAAAGTAAATTATTAGATATTATATTTATGAAAGTATTGAATCACTACCAATCACTGGTTTCTGAGCTGGAGATACAAGTGGAAGCCATCCATTTTAATGACTGCTGACACTTCTCAATGCTTTTTAAAACAAGATTTATCTGCTTATCTTATCTAAAAATAATGGTCAATAGTTAGCTGCAGGAACAAGCCCATGGTGTTGTGAATATATATAAATAAATTATTTGTTCAAAATTAGTATGTCATGAATATACTTAAGTAAATAATTGATTCAAAAAATAGTAAGTAAGTGTCTTTGCAGAAAAGTGTTTAGTCTAGGCTGGGTAGTATTTTTAATTATGACGTTTGAAAACAACTGTTACTAACTAGATTAGAAATGTCATGATTTGGTTACAAGATCACTTGAACAATGTAAAAACAAACCTCCAAACCAATGAAACCGTTAAGTTACCAGGTTATGACTCACTTGGCATCTTTTTTTATGCTATAACTTATATATTGTGTTAATTTAGCATTATGCACTCTTCATGGTTATGGTTCACATTAAGTACCAACTGATTAAAAATTAAGACCCAAAGAAGAGTCACAACGGGTTGCATTGAAATAATGAAATATAAGGTTTTTGTTTATGAATAACTTCCTCTGTGGGTAACAGGCTATCATAACAAAATTTGTGCAAAGTTTACAAACTGTGAGCCAAAGTCCGACTCCTTTGTTGAGGAGTGTCCTATGAATGAAAACACAGCATTTCAAGAATAATGACTGGACTCTGTTTTTACACTGCCTGTCATATTCCACAGATGCAAATCTAAATCATCTCTGTAGCCCTTGCAAATTTAGAATTCATGTATTATCTCTAACCTGAGAAGTTGAGTGTTCTATAAGTGATATAAGTGATATAAGATGTCGTGGGAATAATTTTATGTTCAACCGTGCAACTTTTGTTTTTACTTAAAAATTAAAACTTAAAATTCCAATGTATAACTTTTACCTTGTTAAAGAAATTAGTAATATATTTAAAAATAGCAGTAAAGAATGTATAATTCTAAGTCATCTCGGCATTATAACAGGTTTCAGATGTGTAAACCACTTTTCCAGAAACTTGGAAATGCAGTCTTTTGGTGATTCATTTTACATTTATTTTAATTGAAGTTCCATATAAATGTATTTTTATCTATAAAATTCATCTATTTATTATTTTGATAAAAACATTTTTGGTTTAATAACTTGGGAGTGAGTTACCTTATTTTTTTAGCCCAATTACATATATGTGTGTGTATGTATGTATGTATGTATGTATGTATAAAAGTTATCTCATTGTTCAATAATTATTTCTTTTATCAACTTTTTCAACTGAAATTCTGAACTTGAAATAATTTTAAAATTCAGGCTACTACATGAATACATTCCAACTGATGTGGAAATTACCTGGGTTTTTCTCTGTCTGTTGTAACATTTGATCCAATGCATTGCATTTATGCAGTGTAACTTGAAAAGATCTTTATATTTGCCAGGAAGGGAAAACACATATCAAGTAGTAGCTTATAAATTTTAAGGAAGAAACCCCCGGACATTATTATCTTTGGGAACACTCTGTTTTCATAGTCCTACTACTCTGTTATTATCTTCATGCAACATGTCAGCACTAAATTCAATTTGTATAATTGTGTCTTCTAATTTTTCTCTTTTTGATAGGCACCCATATTTTCCTTTTCCTTTGTTTGTCTATACCTGTAATGTTCTTGGCATATTGTTGTGACCTGTCCCTAATATCCTTTCATTGCCCATGTTAGAGTTCTGGATGATCTGAAAAGTAATTATAGACATATACTTAGAAGGAACAGTGATCCTACTGAAAATACAGACAAGCCATTTTCAATTTAGAGTGACTTACAATCTTCACTAAGTTAATATTCACAATTTCACTGCAAATGTGGCCTAATGATTGTGTTTCCGTAGCTGCTTTTGGCTGAGCTAAAAGGTGTGTGCAGCTCTGAGATAGTTTCTTCAGAGGCAGCAGTGAAGGTCCAACCTAGCAGGGGGAGAGTGGTGAAGTGGAGTCTGGGAAGCAGGAAGAGAAACAAAGAAGCCACCCAGGAAGAAACTTCTGTGAATGGCTTGGCAGCAGGGGCAAAGGAAGGAGGCGCATGCTGAGGTTGTGGGGCCAAGAGATGGAGCCTTGGTGCCCTAGGTATGGTGTATCCAAGCAACCTGATTCTTTCAAAGTGAATGGAATTCTGCGCCTCTTCTATTCTGCAATTAAATCCGCCTTATTAAATAAGACTGCATAGAGTGTGTATCCATATTCATGTGACTTAGTTTGTGTTGTCTTACTCTGGATTTTTTCCTGAAGATAATATAGAATAGAATTCGTTGCAAAATTGTTGGAATGTCAAGCAGACAGTACACAATAGCAGCTTGTGGTGCAAAGATTTTAACACGGATATAAGAGGGTTTAAAAAATTAGCCTTTAATGATTTGTTTGAAATTATAAATCAATCAACCATCATTAATAAAATGTGATGAATGGCAGTACCACATCTAGAACCAAGGTATGGAGGGTTAGAGATCTCAGGTGAGCATACAAAAACTTCAAAGGCATCATGAAGCATAACTTTGGGGGCTGTCACATATCTGAAAACTATTGAATGCATTCATGGTAGCCAGTCTTCAGAGAGTCTTGAAGTGGTGATAGGAAGGAGGTCAGACTGTCTTGTGAATCTGATAAGCTCAAATCGAAATGCCAGGGACTTAGAAGTGCTGATCAGACGCCACTTTTAGAATGTAGAGGAAGAAGCTGTGCCTCCCTGTTCCTGTTTTCTGCCCCATCGGGCCATGTGATTGGTCTAAGGTCTTAGATGAGCAAGGAAATAAATTTGTTCAAACTTACTCATAGGTTTGTAGCAACGGTTCCCAGCCACAGTGGCTGGCAAGGATTTTGTATATTTTGTCTATGGAAAAAGTAACTTTATTCTCTCTTCTCTGGGGGTGGCGTCTGTTTTTTTTTTTTTTTTTTGTAGGGGGGAGGAATACACTAGAAGAAAAATTTGAATATAATCCAATGGAGATCTTTAATAAAGTCTAAGGAGCATGTTGTTGATTTCAGGACCTCAGAAGCCCATCTTCTCTGCTTCAAATCTCTTTCCTTTTTAGCCCTCTTTCCTGAGTCTCGTTCTTCCAAAGCTCAGCTCCTCCTGAAACCCTTTGGCATTCCCTCACTTGGAAGACACCCTTTCAACTCAACCCCTTGAAGCTGTTTGTTTTCTGTGCCACTAAAAACTTGTGTTTGGAGTCATAGAGCAACCATGCTCCTTGTCCTGACAAGCCTCTGCCTCCTGCTTTTGTCTTGGCCATAGTAGGTGGCCAATGACTGTAGCCACAGTTCCTGTGAGCTTGCTACCAAGTCAGGCAGGCATTTGAAACATCGGGAAACGACATTGTATGTTCTTACACAGAAAAGAACACGTAGTTTTGCAGGTATTGGTCATTAAAACATTCTTGTCTGAAAGATAATGTTTCCAGATAAATGCCTCTCTTCCCTGTCCCTCAAAATTGTAACCACATTAATTTTATTTGAAAAAGCTAGTATCAAACCCTAAGGTAAAATAGCTACTGTATAGCTCAGCATCCACAAATCTTATTTGCCAATAATACAACTGCAGACAATCCAAAAATGTGGAATCCTTGACTTCTAAGTCAGCAGCTGTCTGTTGTTGGTGTTTTGTCCTCCTTCCTCAGTGATAGTCACCGAACCCCAGGGACCAGTCATTTCATCTTTCTGACCCTCTGTGTCGTCTAACAGACAGTGGCTTTGCCAATCATTCAGGAAGAAAAAAAATAAGACAGTTTGGAGAGAGGAAATGAAGAAACAAAGACATAGTTTGGAAGAGACGGTACAGAGGTGTGATGGAGTTCTCTGATCTGGATATCAGAAGACCTGAAATTAAATCTGGAATTGACCACAAATAGGTCTGAAGTTGGCCACACTTATACCCTTGAGCCTTCAGATCATTGTTAATAAATCATGGTAGACAGAATGATTTCTTTAGTTGATGAAGCTTGAAAACACTGTTCCTCTCCAGCATGGCACCATCATTCCACACCTGTTTTAATAAATTCTCTAAAGACTGGTAATGCCAAAGGATGAAGGTCTGATGTCAACAAAGGAGAGAGGTGCCTGAATTTCCAATGCAAATTATGTTGTGTCCCCTTTAACTTCATTGTCCATATCGCAGAGACAAAATAGAAATGAAGATTTCTAGAAAAACACTGGGGCACTAGTGTTTTCATTGGGGATGTAGAAGGAAGAAACAACCTTTGATTATTTGTCTAAAATTAAGTGTGGTAAATGAATCAACCATCACAATAAAATATGATAAATGGCAGTAGCATGCCTAGAACCAGGGTATGGAGGGTTGGAGATCACAGGTGAGCACAGGCATGTTCAAAGGCATCATGAAGCATGACTCTGGGGGACATGGGGTCTGTAGACTCTTAAAAGCATCAGCGGCAGCTAGTCTTCAGAGCCTGTGAGGTGGTGGTGGGAACAGACAACGAGTGAGCTGTGAATCTGACGCACGTAGGTCATACATGGTACCAGGAACTCCTAGAAGTGCTGAGCAAAAGCCACTTTTAAAGTGCGTAGAGGGAGAAACTGTGGCCAGGCTTTGGTGGCACACGCCTTTAATCCCAGCACTCGGGAGGCAGAGGCTGGTGGATCTCTGTGTGTTCGAGGCCAGCCTAGAGCGAGTTCTCCCCCTTGTTCGGGCCATGTGCATGCTCTAAGGTCTTTTGTAGATGCACAAGAAGGGGAAACGTAGAACTTGATAGCTGATATCAGTGGCTGGAAGTCTGGTTCCATTGTGTGACTTTTCTGACCCCGGCAGTTTCCTTCACCTGTGAGGTAAACGTCCTGTAACCTGCCATGTTAAGTTGGCATAAGAATTAGGGAAGTATCTATCGTGTGCATAGTGCCTTTATCAACCAGTTGATAAGCATTAGCATACAACAGTATCCCTGTCTCAAACTCTTTTGCTGTTCTTTTTTCTTCCTAGAGTCAGCTGATCATTTCATGGGAATTCTTTCTTAGCCAGGTTGGATGGAGTGTCTGTCTATTCTTTGCAAGAGGAGCACCCCAGAAACGGAACACACCCCAAATCAGCTTGGGCCTTGACAAAGCCTCCATTGTGTCCTGAGAGGAATGGAGAAAAGAGAGTGATGCTCACATGGAGACTTTTATTTTCTTGTCCAGATTTTGCCCTGGTACTACCCCATCTCCTCAATCTGCCCTCTCTGCATTTCTTATCGTCTACCTCTGAGTGGCTCCAAGCTTGCTTTTCTGATGGCATTGAGGCGGCCTGAGGACTACCTATTCGGATCTTTATATCTAGATGTATCCCAAAGATTTCCCGACATTGGTCCTAACAGCCCACATTTTACTGCCTCCCTGAAAGGAGTCCTTACTCCTTCACAGTCACCATGTGCTCTCCACGTCTCTTGCTTGAAGCTTGAATGTTTTCCAGTTTATCACTGAGTCAGTCTCTTTCTTAGCCTTTGTCCTGTCGTCTTGACCTAGTCTAAAACACTGAGTTTCCTATTCCATATGCTCCCAAAATGCTCCCGGGAGCCACTATTGCCTCACAACACTCTTTTCTATCCCTAACTGTGGGTTACTGGGTCCCTTTCCCACACAGTTCCTGATCTTCTGTTCTCAAATGTGAGGTGCTCTTACCCATAAGAATGTCAAAGATGATAGGCTCCTTGTGGGTGAGTTGAGGAATCTGTAATTTTTATTATTAAGTTGTAGCCCAGAATCAGTGAACAAAATGTTCCTTGCATAGAAGATTTAATAACATAGATGCCTTCGGATAGTTTCCTCCACCGAAGTGAGCTACTGTTCTGGGTCACACCTTTCTCTCTCGTCCTAGATTCCATGGTACGGCAGGGTAGCCAAAAGGCCCCGCTTTGTTGATTCAGCCATACTTCCCATCCCTCCACTTCTGAGATGAACTATGCTGGCCTCTCTTGTCAGGAGCACAAAAGAATGGTGAAGGAAAGTTCTTGAAGCTGACTCAGGCTGACTCACATAACTTAACACTAGGTAGGAAGGAGCCATGAAGTCCAGAGAGCAAAGCTTGAACTTGCCTACTAAGCCAAAGCCACAAATGATTGAAGATTCGGGCCAGGGTGGTGCTTGGAGCAGTGACCATGGATGAGATACTCAACACCATCGTCAGTCTGTTGGCTCCCGTGTTTCTGCACTTCCAATGCTGCTTTCCATTTTACCCCCAAATTCTTCTGGGCTTAGTTGCCATGACACATACATGACTTATGCTACTCCTTGGTTGGATAGTCTTTTGTCACGCATTGTCAGCTTTCCCTCTTGGCCCTGCCCAACACAAAAATATCTTCTAAGACTCAACAATCAGTGGTGGAATTGTTCGGCAAACTCATTTTCATGCACACAAAAGACTATCCCGTCTGTTAGCCGCACATAATGAAATGACTTTCCATTATCCTTACAGAATCCATCACTTCTGCCCCAGCTTGGTGCTGACTGGTGCATTCTCCTTTTCCCCACTTGTCTGTATTTTTCCACCTGCCTACTTCACACCTCTTCTGAAGGAACATGTGACCGCTTCTCCCTCTGTTAACCTTCACTTCTTGCTCTTCTGCTCAACTTCCAATTAGTCACAGGCACTTTCCTGGTTCCAGCTGTTTCGGGTTGCTGTTAGAAATACGTTTTGGCTAATCCAGCACTGTTGTTTGAGCTATCATCCCGACCAGGTGCTGGAAGCCCATGCTCCCACAGGGTGTGTGTTCTGTCCCCCTGCCCAGACTAGGACTGATGTAGGACCTCATGGTTGCTAGGTCAGTATTCTATCACCAAGCTACATCCCCACCCCCTTTCTTAACTTCTCTAGTGCCCCCACCCCACCCTGCACATCTACTGTTTGACCCTGAAGCTGTGTGAGTCTGAAATAGAGTTTTGTGTTTTTCAGAGCCACCCTACACATGGGGTCCTCACTGTTATCTTGTCACAAGAACAGCATTCCAGAATAGCTCAGAACCCGAAGGCAGCACTACTTACTGTCTGTGGGCGTGTTGGTTCTCTGGCTTTCTAGAAAACTGTTTCATACTCTCTGCTCTCTTTTCAAGTCCCCTCTTGATTGCTACAATGCTCTTTCCTTTTGATTTCATTGAGAAAATGGCTATGGTCATTCATGTCTTTAATACCAGCATGTAGCCGAGGCAGGAGGCCGTGAGTCCAAGGCCAGACTAAGGGTCCCAGTTTGCTTTTTCTTTCTTTTCTTTTCTTTCTTTTTTTTTTTGTGTTTTGGTTTTTCGAGACAGGGTTTCTTTGTATAGCTTTGGAGCCTATCCTAGCAGCCTGTAGACCAGGCTGGCCTCGAACTCACAGAGATCTGCCTGCCTCTGCCTCCTGAGTGCTGGGATTAAAGGTGTGCACCACCAATGCTTGGCTCCTAGTTTGCTTTTTGTTGCTATAACAAAACATGGACTTAAACCAATGAGGGGAGGAAAGGGCTTTTTTTCAGCTTACAATTTATAGTCCCTCATTGAGGGAAACCAAGGCAGGAAGAGAGTAGAGACTGTGGAGGAACGCTCTGCTGGCTTGATTCACTACCCTTTTTCTACACCCAGGCCCATCTGCCTAGGGATGGCAGCACCCACTGTGGGCTTGGCCCTTCCCCATAAGTCACAGTCAAGAAAATGCCCCATAGACATTCCCACAGGACAATTTGATGGAGACACAACTCCTCAATTGAGTCTCCCTGATCCTACGTGACCTTAGTTTATGTCAAGTTGACAAAAACAAACAAACAAACAAACAAACAAACAAAAAGAACCAGCACAGGCACAAAGCAAGTTCCACATCACAGGAGGCTACAGAATGAGATTCTTTAAAAAAAGACAAAATTAGATAAAGTGTCTATACACTCTCATGCCCCTTTCCCAGGGCTGCTCTGCCTCCTTTCCCTGACAACCCCCTTTCTTTCTCTCATCAGTCACTCTTCCTCTTGTAGCCTTTGTAGCCCTTTTTCCACTCTCTTATTTCCCATGACTCCTATGGTTCTGCAGCTTTTAATATCATTTGCATGTTAGAGCTCCAAAATGTGCATTTCCACTCAAACAGGCCCAACAGCCTACTGGATAGTTCTGCATACATAATGCCCACCTCAGACCTACCACTCAAAATAATCTTGGTTTCCTTTCAGCCCTGCTTCTCTCACTTTTATCCACCTTGTTAAGTTCCAAAGAGGAGTCTTTGCTTGCTTAGTCCACAGCCGAGCAACCAGGTTTCGCATGCTTTTCTTCAGGGGCAGAACTGAAGCCCTTTCTGTGGATAGTAGACCTCACTTGCTTGGAGCCTACTCCACCACCGCTCTCATGGGTCCTCTCCCTCTCCCAGCATGCACTGGATCTGCAGTAGTCACCTTGCTGCCTGCCAGTACCCCCAAGCACCTCGAGCCTCTGAGCCTTCGCAGTTGCGGTTCCTTCAGGCCGAGATGCTCTTTGCCTACACATCTGCAAGGCTGCTTTCCTCTGGGTTTCACTCAAAAGAGGGACGATGGACCAGTGATGGAGAGCTTGCCTGGTATTTGCTAGGCTCGAGTTCCATTCTCAGCAGCACATGGCTGTACACACATGCAGGCAGATCCCAGTACTCCTGTGCACACACAGTCATCAGAGGGATGGTCTCTGACCAGTGGCCATAAATTGCATTCATGCTGTCTTGGATGCAGCTGTCATTATCTGACACACCACAGGCTTACATGTGTGTTTGTTTCCTATCTGTCTCTACCTCCCCCTCTAGACCACAGTCTGGAGGACAGGACCTTTGCTGTCAATGCTCTTGTATCACTAAAACCAATTTCTGCCACATTGTGGGCTCTAGATAAATATTTGTTGAGTAAATGAAAAATGAGCCCTCTTCCTATTGAAAGTCTTCTGACTAGCCTGTCACTGACTGGCTGATAGTTTATTAATTAAGAATATATATAGTATAAACCTCAGTGTAACCCCATATAGTTACACATTTTATGTCCAACAAATTTCTTTACAGTGGCCTTCTTCTGGGATGGTTAAATACGCTGCTTAAGGATACTTTGTTTGATATTCCAGAGATGAAATTAGATATAAAGTGACTAAGACTACAAAGTAGGTAGATGACTCCATTAGTTGAAATTAGTGCCACACTGAAATGTGTGTGAAAAATGTGAATTTTATTTAAATCCTCCGTTTCTCCTTCTATGAAGAGTAGGAAAGTTTAGAAGCTGGAGGTGACCAGATTCAGTTCACCGCCTTACCATTCCAGGTTCTTGCATGGTTCCTGAGAGCCAGAGAGAGCAGAGACTGCCGCCAGACTGTGGGGGTTCAAATCCAGACTCTGTTGAGAATCAGCTTTGTGTCCTTGAGTAAGCTAAAGCTTCTTCATACCTCTGTTGCTTTGTCTGGGTTGATCATTCATTAGGTTCCTGCTTCATGAGGTTGTCTGGAGGACTTGATGAGCTAATCAACGTAAGGTACCTGCGGGACAGTGCATAGAACGCACATACATGCAACCCGGCATTGGTGACGCACACCTTTATTCCCAGCACTCGGGAGGCAGAGGCAGGTGGATCTCTGTGAGTTCGAGACAAGCCTGGTCTACAAGAGCTAGTTCCAGGACAGCCTCCAAAGCCACAGAGAAACCCTGTTTCGAAAAAAACAAACAAACAAAAAAAGCACATATATGTGAAGTACGTGTTACTGCCCACTCCACCCTGTGCAGCTGCCAGCTCTTAGCAATTTACCATCTTTGTCCCGGGGACCTGGTGGGGATTTACTGCAGGGTACTCTGTGGCCAGCAGGTGCAGCCTTCACACCTTCTGAGCACTTTGTGTGTGCTTGCTCTTTCTCTTTCTTCTCTCTCTCCTTCCCTCCTGTGGATTCTGCCTTTGCTCCTCCTCCCTCTCTCCATGCTGTAGTCAGTGATGTCCCTGCCCTACCCTTTCCTTCCTTTACTTGTCTCTCTCTCCCTCCCTCCCTCTCTCTCTCTCTCTCTCTCTCTCTCTCTCCCTTTCTTCCCCTCTCTCTGTCCCTCTCTCTGTCCCTCCCTCCCTCTCTCTCTCTCTCTGTCTCTCTCTCTCATTCGAAAGCTTCCAGAGAGAAATGACATGTTATGTCACCACAACCACCAGAAGGCAACTTCTTAGCAGCTCTCCCTTCCTGAAGAAGCTTTTGCTCTTTCAGGTAGCCCCTCTGCAGAGCTCAGAGGTCCTTCATCTAAACCTGCTTATGGAGGTGATCAGGAATGCCACCTCAGCACTTTAGGCCCATGTGTGGCCTATGTCAGCAACAGCTACTGCTTTAGAGAACAGTCTCATCTTATCAGCAACCATGGGCTCACTGCAAAATCAACCACAACCAATTGTCTTGCTGGTAGCTCCTTAGGGGTATCCACGAAAGAATGCTATTGCTTCCGTCGTTAAAGTTTAAAGCCTAATGATATGCAAGTTCATTAGGGGCTGAGAATTAGGGGCGAAAGGACATGCTCAGTGGAAATGCTCCCACCCCATGTTTTCCTACTAGAACTTCCTTGATTGAAGGAATGTGTGTCGCTTATAACACACACTTAAGAAATCAATGTTCCCTGGAGTTTTTGCTAGGAATTAGGCAAACATGGCTAAAGGGCACTGCAAATACAAAGCCTTAAACTGTAGTCTAAGGGTAGTGTCTTAATGAGATTGTATTCAAGTGCTCGTGGGTATGGATATGATACACGTGTGTACAGTGTGTGTATATACACATGTGTGTGGTGTGTGAGGAGGCTAGAGCTTTCTCTCTCTGCCTTGTTTTATGACAGGTTTTCATTGACTCTGGAACTTACCTGTTTGGCTAGACTAGCTGGCTAACAAGCCTCACAAGTCCTACCCTCAATTTCTGAATGCTGGGATTACAGATGTGTGCCCTGTGCTGAATGCTGGGATTACAGATGTGTGCCCTGTGCTGAATGCTGGGATTACAGATGTGTGCCCTGTGCTGAATGCTGGGATTACAGATGTGTGCCCTGTGCTGAATGCTGGGATTACAGATGTGTGCCCTGTGCTGAATGCTGGGATTACAGATGTGTGCCCTGTGCTGAATGCTGGGATTACAGATGTGTGCCTTGTGCTGAATGCTGGGATTACAGTTGTGTGTCTTGTCCTGAATGCTGGGATTACAGATGTGTGCCCTGTGCTGAATGCTGGGATTAGTGTTTCTGAGGACCATGCCTGGGTTTCATGTGTTTGGGGCAGGCACTCTACCAACCGAGGTCTTCCCCAGTCCACAGGGATGAGCTTGTTTGGTTTCAACGAAGACTTGCAGTCTGTCTGGAAAAACAAACAGACCTGAGCACTACCTATGGCAGCTGTCTTCCTGAAAAGCTGGGGGGCTAGCCTCTGCCTTCATATCAGTATGCCGTTCTTCTTTATGGCTCCATAATGCTCCACTGTGTGCCTACAACACTTGTTTACCCATTTATCTGTTGGTCAGCATCTGGGTGGTGTGTGTGCCTTGTGCAGAATGCTGGGATTACAGGTGTGTGCCCTGTGCTGAATGCTGGGATTACAGTGTGTACCCTGTACCCAGGTTTTTAAAATGTTATTGCTGGGAATAGAACACAGGTCTTCATGCTTGCATGGCAACCATTCTACCAACTGAACTTTTATCCTGACTCCCATTCAGGCACTGTGTAAATCATGGTTGTTCTAGGTGCTAAATTCTTAATTCTTTTTTTTTTTTTTTTTTTTTGAGACAGGGTTTCTCTGTGTGCCTTTGGAGCCTATCCTGGCACCCGCTCTGGAGACCAGGCTGGCCTCGAACTCACAGAGATCCGCCTGTGTCTGCCTCTGCCTACCGAGTGCTGG